AACAGCAGCTTCGCTCAGTACCGCCGCCGGCGGGAGGGGGGGGGTAAGGGGTGGCGGCCTCCCGCCTCGCTCTGCTCCAGGGCGACCCCTGCTGGACGGTGCGCCCGCGCAAACTTGGCCAGGCGCTGCTCTCGCCCTTTGCAGGAGGCGCCAGCTCGGGAGGAGGGCGGGGTGGTGGCGGTGAAAAAAGCAACTTTGGGGTCGGATCCAGAAGCCTGTTGTTTTCCTTCCGCTGCTCCCCCTCGGCTACCTGGTGAGTTCTGTTCCCTCCTACCTGCTCTCTGCCACCATTGCTAAGGGGCACCGAGGCCTCTCGCAGAAGGAAGATTTCTTGCCGGTGCAAATCATCGCTTGCTGCCTATTTATTAATTTATTAATTACATAAAAAAATCCAAAGCACCTTTGGCAGCGAGGAAGCCACCTTACTATTTTGCTTTGTATTGTTCGGCCATCTCCTGTCCGCTCCTGCAAGACTATGCTTCACCGCCGCCCCCTCCCCCTCCCCCTCCCCGGTTGTTATTCCTTGCTGCGCACGCGCACAGGTGAGCTCTCGCTCTCTTCACCTGTGCAACCCTCTGGTGTATTAAGACCTCTTGATGCAAGTTAAAACGCCATACAGAGGTGACGTAAAGATGCCACCTCAGAATGGAATTGTGAACTTGTTTTGCATCAATGCAAACAATATCCGATTTTGCTGATGCAAGGGAGATACCTTGAGCACACTTTTATCTCCCTTCTTACATCCTTCTTCCGTAATGTATGATTGTGGGTGATGTGGCAAGCAATTGTTACTCACTATAATCTTAGAACTCGAACTGTAGTTGTTATTCTGGATTACCATGTGATAATATAAAGATGTGGTCTTGCTAGGCACTGAAGGCGTGGAATGAAATTGTACGGAATATGCTAAGTGCTTTGAGTTAAAGTGGAATCCCCTCTCCCTACAGAATACAACAGAACACATTATCTAAAATATTCTGCCATGTCATCCTGCAGGAGAAGTAAAGTGGCTTTATTTTTTAATTATTTGATATTAAAACTAAAATGCAAATAGAATAATAACTACAAACAATACACATTGGACATTTCCCACCTGTGCCACCTTCACCATTGGGACTCGTTTGTTTAGTCGTTTAGTCGTGTCCGACTCTTCGTGACCCCATGGACCAGAGCACGCCAGGCCCTTCTATCTTCCACTGCCTCCCGGAGTTGTGTCAAATTCATGTTGGTTGCTTCGCAGACACTGTCCAGCCATCTCATCCTCGGTCGTCCCCTTCTCCTCTTGCCGTCACACTTTCCTAACATCAAGGTTTTTTCCAAGGAGTCTTCTCTTCTCATGAGATGGCCAAAGTACTGGAGCCTCAGCTTCAGGATCTGTCCTTCCAGTGAGCACTCAGGGTTGATCTCCTGCAGAATTGATAGGTTTGTTCTCCTTGCAGTCCAGGGGACTCTCAAGAGCCTCCTCCAGCACCACAATTCAAAGGCATCAATTCTTCGGCGGTCTGCTTTCTTTATGGTCCAGCTCTCACTTCCATACATCACGACAGGAAAAACCATAGCTTTGACTAT